TTATATTACTTTTCTGCTACTACCCACAAAACTGGTAATTGTGTCCCTTCTCCCCAAAATTCAGATTAAAATCCAGCTTTGTCTGTTAAAATCAAAGTAATGGAATATTTCCAGCTCCTGAATGTAAACATTTCCATTTTCCAAACTAGTTTCCTCCAATATTACAAAAATGAATCCAAGGATGTGATTGGATTGTTGGATTTCAAATCAGTCGAGGGTAACGACAAAAGTAATATTGTAACTAACTATTTTTTGGAGGAGTAATATTATTACTGAAATGTATTAGTAATTAGTTACACTACTAGTTACTGGGGAAAGTCATATTATTGATAATAATAAGAACGTTGATTTATAGCATTATTCAAGGTTTGTATACCAGCATAGTGTTAAATTATAGTATTCTGGAAATTATTAGAACAGGTCATCTGTAGAGATCCTTATAAATATTTACACCCAGTAACAGCCAGGTCTAAGTGTAAGTGGCTTAATGAACTGCTCACTGAATCACATGATAACCCGAATAGACTTAAGTAACGGAGCATGGTTGACTCCACACCTGACACTTAAAATGTGTCTTCAGCTGTCACTATTGATTAAAGCCAATAAAAGCCCAATAGTGACAGGAAGGGGGGGTTGGTGACATGCAGCAAAGGGCCACAGGTTGGAGCCAAACCTCTGGCCCGCTGCAGCACAGACTCAGCCTTGGTATATTGGGCACCAGCTCTACCAGGTGATCTATCCTGGCGCCCTGAGACCAGAGAGTTTTTTTTTTTATTCATCACATGGTTAGTTGATTTTAGTCAGATGTTGCTCCCAATGTTTTCCTAGCAACCGATATACTATAAAGAATTTGCTACCAAAGACATTTAAAAAGTTTAAATACAGCAAACTAAGACTGAACTGAAGTAAATGACTAGTTTAAAACTAGCTTTGAAGCGTAAAACTTAGAAAGGACCTGATTATTTGGTCTGAGTGCATTATAGGTCATGTGTCATACAATCTTACCCAGGTTATTCTGACCTTGCTATGGTGGCAGCATATGTAGATCTAAAACCACATTACTTCAATACACAGATGCAATTACAAACAGTCATTCCAGGTGTGCGCCTCATGCAGAAGCCAGAGGACAGTATTCATTAGAGTTCAAGGCCTCTGTGTGCATGTGAGTAATTTAATAGTTCACACTTTATTGTAAGTTTCGGAAATCATTGCCTGCCAGTAAACAACAACACTGATGTATGGAGGTGACAAGGTTATGTTAATCAAGACATTTGAAGCCATTTTCACTTAATGAAAAGTGACAGTTTGTAAGTTATTGTGTATTAGAAGTCTTTCTCAATACGGCTAACGCGACAGAGCTTTGTAGAATCGATTAAGATCACCCAGGAAAGCCTTCACTAACTGACATCTACAGGCCCATTTATGGTTCTGTTCATAAACACACCAGAAAACAGCACAAGACGGCACACTGCACACGTATACGTAGGGCTGGAAGATCTTCAAAGTACAACTAAATAAACCTTTTAGTTAAGGATAAAAGCAAATCTATTTTGCTGCTGTATGCATGAGGACTTTCAATCAGGCTAATTATTCCAGACAAATACAGATGAGAGCAAGACACCTGGATATATTTCCAGCAAGTAATCAAGCAAAACATCTAGCGATACATAAAAACATGAAATCATGAGATGTGTCTGCTTCAGGCCTGTAATTCACCATCTGTCCTCGTCTGCAACTAGTGACAACAAACACCCTGTGATTCTGGAGTTCTGTTTTCAATCAATAACTGAGGATATCATGAGTTTTAGTTTTGAGTAAAGGAAATATGACTGCTCTAAGCACGTTTCCCTCAATACAGATACATAGATGACAAACAGCTCCCCCTTCCCCTGAGTTACTGTGATGGATAATCCAGGCTGTTTTAGGCCCATTACCTCAACTGAGGCCTGGCCATTTCCATGACAACGAGTTACTGTATCTCTGTCGAAATCGGTCCAGGCTCTAAGCTAATGGGTTATTATTATATGACTGACGATGTTGAGTCATTTTCTCTGCCTTGGGCTGATCTCCCTTGATTCTGCCAGCACCTCCGAACTGCGCCCCCCCCTCACGCCCCACCGCCCAACCCTGCAGTCACAAATGCTATCAGGAGCTCTGAGTCAGGATGGATTGGACCCGGTCCTCCCGGATACATTATCAGAGGCGATTTGATTTCTCTGGTCAACGCTGCATCATCGTATTACACAGCATCAAATCTGATCATCTTTAAGCGGGATTGCTATGGCTCGATAGATTGTCATGTGACAGACTGCACTGAAGCTGCTTCTCCATGGCACTACTTCTCTGAAACTTCCAAGTATTTTTATGTGAAATATAGCATGTCCCCCACAGAATCTAGAGCAATAATCAGAATTGTAGTACTTGTCCAATACTTGAATTTATGACCAAATATCTGCAAAATAAAAGATCATCCGCCTCAGGTGTCCTTTGTGTTTAGTGCTCATTAGAGAATGAATGTTAGCATAAAAGTCTTACATTTGATAGATTTTTCTTCCTTTTGTCACACAGTTTAAAAGGAGAAAAGATGAAACAGTTGATTGTAGTGCTTTAACTAAAATAATTGGACTGCAACACTAAATGAAAGCAAAAAATAGAAATCAATGATGAAATATGAGGAGAATAAGGCAGAATTGGGCCTTTTGGAGTTTTGGCAATGTCCTAATACAACCCTATGTCTAACAGTCTCACATTAAACATCTGAGAGAGCGAGACCTACAAATACTTAATCACAGCAAAGTAAAATGAAGTAGAGAGAAATATGAAATGTAAAACTAGCCACGAACAACACGAAGGATAGAGAATAAAGGGCAGCATCCTCCCCAATAATACCACTAACATCATTACTATGGAAATTACAATAGCATAGAGATGAATCAGTTCTTCTCACATCAACATCATGTTGTAGAGCTTTTGTACTGGCTTGCATTAAATCATTCATGTTCTGTTGTTGTGTCCTTCCCCTGTATATGACCTATAAAACAGTTATCTAATGGCTGCACTTGTCCTAGATTTATGGCCAACAAGAAGGACCATAGCTTTGCTTAGATTTAGTTCAAGTAAATAAATTGATTCATCATGTCATATAAGCAGATTGTTGGGTTGGAGGATTTGTTTTTGGTCAACACAGTTTTCCATTAAGTTAGTATTTAATTTAAAAAAACATTTTATTTTGAAGGGGGTTTAGGTCCCCTAGAGTTTCATCCCTGAGATCTGCTCTCAGGTGGACTTCACTTTCAAAGTCATAAAGGTTTCAGAGGTTCTGATAGGATACAAGTAAGAACTTTGTTGTTTTGAGACACCTGAGTATTCAAACAACACCAGTAAATCTCATTCAATGGCTCACCGACACTGTGAGATAGCTGCCTTTAGAATTCAGTGGGGGAGGAAGTTGTGGAAATTATTTATGTTAATATCACTTGGGAACATTTCTCTCAGGCACTGTAATAAAAGAAAAATGAACCAGTCATGATAAGGCCTGTGTGGTATTTATTTGAAGTGTAAATAAAGAAAACACTACAAACACAAGAAACAATTTCTCTCTCAGGGAGGCCCTCTAAACTTATCCAACCTCTTGTTCAAACTATATCCTTATTGTTCAAAGTGCACACCTACCAACAGCGCTTTTGTGCAGTATTTGCTGATAGTCGCCAATGTCTATCTGATTTAATTCCAATAAAAAATATTAAATCTTGCCTGAGGGACTAATACCATTTATTGAAGTTTATTTTAAAGTTTAATATTTCTGAGCACACAGTATTGATTCCAGTTGATATAAGTTTGAAGACAGAAGCAAAATCCCCACTTTTCAAAGAGCCGTGCTTTGAAAAGTTTTTAAAACTAAGTTGCATCAGGTGCAGTGCCGACAAAAGGAGTCAGATCCTTCGCTGAAAAATACTGCATTGCAAGTGAAAGTCCTGAATTCAAATGTTATATGTTAAAGTACAGAAGTAATGCTCTGTCAGTGTTATATTAATATTGTGTTTTTATATTCATGTAAAAGGCCTCCTGTTGTGAATAAATAAAACAAAAACAAATATTGGATTGGACTGGTTCAACAGGAGCAAAACATGTGACATTTGAGCTACAACAAGAAATGTCAATAGTCACTTCTGACAGAAGCCTAGGGAGGCCCTCGATGTCTTGGCCCCTGGCAATGTGTTCAGTATCCATGGATGCATTCAAATGAAAGCAGGGTTTTTAGCTGATTATTAGCTGGTCAAGAAGGAGCTAATTATATTGACTCTATGTACACTGCTTGGTTGTTTAACCTATGAATAATATATTTAACTTTACTTCATTGGCAAAGTAACATATGTAGGAGGGAAATATATAAGTGGAGTAAAAAGGGCAATATTATATTTCTCACTGAAATGACATGAAGAATATCTCTTAAGTATGTAAAATAGAAATACTCAAGTTAAACCGGCTACACACACACACATATACATATACATATATAATACTGCATTATATGTGCACCAAGTGTTTCACTTAAGGGAGGAAGAGAAAATGTTCAGCTCTCTTGACAATCTGCCATTGTTGAAGGAAGCTGGTGAACACGCTGATGCATATTGCAGTATGAGGAAGAGTGAAACTGCTGGGACTGAACTGAGCTTTATGATGAAGGTAGTGAGGAAGTAGGAGGACTGTACACCTGCACCGCCTGAAACACATCTGCAGTGAACGCCACACGCCTCTCCCTCAATAACACTGCCCTTGAGCAAGGCACTGGAAGAACCTGCCGGCTGCCCGGGTATTGTGCAGCTAAAGCAGAGCAGAGCCTCTGAGTAAGCACATCCTGTAGGTGTTTGGCTAAATGTATTTCTTTTTTTTTTTTGTCTGTTTAAGTATATATATATTTCAAAAATCACGACACTAGTTCGTTTGCTGAACCCTCCCCGCGACGAGCAGCACGAGCTACTAATCAAGCACAGACGTGCACCAACGTGCTTTTTTAGCCCGCATTTTCTTGGCGGACTAAAAGCTGCATTCCGCCCCACCCCTTTACAAACAACATCTCCACCACTGTACCTAAATCAGGAAGCACAGAGACACGTTTTTTTCTTTCTTTCTTTTTTTTTTGTTGAAACGGAGACACTTTGGTGATTACAACAACGGCGAACCATAAAGGGGAAAAAGGCGTTATTGTCGATGCTGTTGACGACCACCGTCGACCACTGCTGAAAGAAGACTGACAGTTGGTCACATCCAGTGCAAGGCTCAGCTGTGGATGCATTTGACACAGACTAACCGGAGAAGGGTATGTGCACAGTCGAACTGGTTTCAATTCACAAATAAGACAAATACAAAGGCGAGTAAAAGCCAGTGTAAAAGACAGCTACACACACCGTTACTATCGCCATACTGGGGTTTTGTTTTTGTTTTTTTTACGCGGTATAACGGTAGTAAACATGTTATCCACGTCGACTTGTTTACAGTGCGTTACAGTCGTTTCGAAACCTGCAGGGGAAATATGCTCGGAATGTCATTTTCGTCTACCGGACTCGGTGTAAACCATACGTAGTAAGTGTTGCTTAATAAGCATCACTGCCACCAGACAGTGCCACTGCTGTGTCATGTGCTTTGACAGTGTCGCCCCCCACCCCCACAGCCACCACCACTACAACCACCACCCTCCCCGCTGCCTTCTCTCTCGGTGAACCAATCACCGCTAACACGTCCAGCAATTTAACGCTTCTTTGCTTAGTGGTAATAAAACTCACGGTGTTGAGTGAGATTAAAGGCCTGGTGTCAGACATGAGGTGGTTCTCTTCAGTTCGGCACACATATAGCACGCCAAGCAGGACTTTAACCCTATAAAACTAAGAGTTTTGTAAAATGCTCGACAGTGTTTGCTACCGGAAACCTCGGTGTGTTTGGTTGGCAGTGGACCGTTGCACCAACAGGGAAACCAGCTGTTTAGTTTAAACTTAATGAAATGTGCGCATTGATAGGTGGCCCATATGTATGCCGAATGTATTAGAAGGGCACGACGGTTCTTTTAAATGTATAAATCATGTTACACGACTTATGGCAATATTCACCAAAGCGTGTCACCTTTAAATTGGAACATTTTAAATAGAGTTTTGCGCCTGTACTTGAGGGATGTATATATGAGAAAGGAACATGGCAATGTTAGCAACCCCCCAACAGTAGGCCTACTGTTAGCAATGCTTTGGTTAAACAATGTTTGTTAAAATGTATTAAATAGTCCAAGCTTCTCAGTTGATTTGTTTAATATTGTGGCATACTGTAATTAATACAGTATGCCACAATACAATTTAACTGTGACTACATACATAGACACAAACCTGTTGACATGTGACATTTAAATGGTCGGTCCACTTGAAATTCACTTCACTTTAATAGCATCAACTTTATGGTGGAATTAGAGAGACTCAGTCATTGGTGCTATTACATAACAAGTCAAAAGTAAAAGATGTGATTAATGTTTGCAGTCTTTTTGGAGATGTGTTGTTTCTCCTGGCTGGTGCTTTGGCAACGTTGTATGTTGTTGTCTTAGCTGGTGGATAGACCGGCCAGCTTTAAGAGGCTAAAACACACACTGTACAGCCTGGAGGAAATGAAGTATTACATCACTCTGCATCCTAAGTAAGGACCGTTCTGTAGCAAGCTCCACTTGTTACTCGATAACACATGAAAACAGTGAAGGCCTGTAACAGAAACCATACAGGTTCTATTGGCTTTACTCTACAGAACAGCTGTTGACCACTGCACTGTTGGTCTGTTGAGGAGAACTGCCAAGATGAGCGGCATACGACCCTATGGAAAGATACACGGGCCCTTGTTGTTGTTGTTCTTGCTGTTAATGTGATGTAAAAAAAAAAAGCTGTGACATGCTCAATTTCTGTCGCTGCTATGCACGGTCTATAAATAAAATATTCACACATGAGTGGTCGCCTATGTCTGAACTGCACTGATTTACTAAAGCCTGCAGCCATTATTGTCCTCTAGACGAGGAACATTGAGCAAGGTAACCTCTGGCTCTGTTTGACACACGCAGCTTTAATCTTCACCTTTTTCATCTCTCTTCCGTTGATAAAGACAGACCACAGAGCAGATCATGTACATCGGTGTCACCGCGTGACTTGAATGCCATGCCGCCACCGTCGCGCGTTGTCAGATAACACGATCGTACGACTGTATCATTTTTGATACAGATCTGAGTTGCATTGACAAAAAATGTCTTTGGTATTAGCTAAAGGATTTTGTGGAACGTCAAGGATTACTAATTAGACAGACATGCTTGTATTGACCTAGACAAAGCGGGATGCCAGCAGTCGCAGCTTAACCTTCACATAACTTGTGGAGAAGCTTCAGCTTGCCTGCGACTACCTGAGCCTGGAAGGCCGCGGGAGTGCATTCCTTTGCATTCCTTTGCATTTTACAGGATTTGCCTGAGCTCAGCCAGGAGAGGAAAATGCCAAGAGGTTTGCTCAGCCATCACGTGCGTCACTTGGCATTCCTTTGTCTCCGTGAGAGCAAGACCAGCCTATACCAACAGGCCTGAAGTGTAGTTTTGCATACAGTTAAGTGAAAAGTTCGGTGTTTGGTTATAATTTTCCATACTCAGTGAAGTTTTCCATGCTGCTCAGCAAGTGTGTGTGTGTGTGTGTGACTGCACACTATCTCTGTTTTGCAGGTGATGCACTGAGGTTAGTCAACTTCCGTCCTCTTAGACTCACAAACTTCCTCTCTTTTCTCACTTCCCCTCCTGTCTGCGCCTGTTCTTGGCAGACAGGTTGAGTCACATTACCTTCTTACAAACCAATAGCTTTGTTAGTTTTTGCCCAAGGCGTGGTGCTGCCAGTCAACTCGGTGCGCTACACACTGACAGCGCATCCTGTCATCCGCAGTGGCGTCACAGCCTGCAATGTGTCAGCTCCTCATAGTGATCACAGCAGATGGCAGAGTTGAATATTTTGCCTCCAGATCCAAGTGGAGAGCTTGTATCTTGAATTATATGATGGAAACCCCAGGTGGCAGCGGTTGTGTATCTCCATTAAGGAGCACTGAGCTTACGCATCAGACCCGGGGCTATATCACTAGGACACCCCAGGGAGTGACGGGAGGTGCCCATGCATAACAAAGCAAAAACAAATATATGCTTGAATTAACAAAGCAATAGCTATGCACGGCATTGGACCCCTGGGAGTGTTGTTTTTCTGCTAGAGTATAATATTCCCTCAGAGCCATATGTGCTCTTCCGAGAGGGAATTCCAAAAAGAATGTTGCAGAAGAACAGCTGTATATTTGTCTGTACACTCAACCCCCTTTCCCTCAAAACATCACAGTGTGTACAAGAAAGCGGTGGGTTCTTGAGTGTCACAGTGATATTTCATTACCAAACTCCGAGAGCAATTATCTTATGTTAAGAGAGCAGGAAGCTAAGGAAGCCGTGGCCCTGATGTGTCAGACGGGCAGCGGGAGCCCAGAGGCAAACATTGCTTCTGTGGGTGGTGGAGCTGCTTTAGTTCAGCCAGACGGCCACGGCTGACTGGTCACCGAGCTGACAAAACTCTGACTTCTCCTCTAGCCTGGTACGCACATACAACTGCCCTCGCTTATTCACAGTGTCGCGCTGCAGACCGGCATTGTTATGTTGGAGGAGTGGCGATGGTCATGATGAGTATGTGAAAATGGCAGGGACGAGTGTCAGTGCAGGCCTTTGTCCATTGGTTAAGAGTTTGCTATGTGTCAACATGCATAACAGTTGCTCTGGTTGGGATGTGCCAACAATTGCAGATTCATTCTAAAAACGAATCCTAAAGCTGCAAGTGACTGCAAAGAGACAGACGACTGATGTTCCATGTAGCAGATATGGAAATAAAGAAACAGCATTGTTCTTGTCTTTAAGTGATTCATCTGTTACTCAACCTGGACTTCTTAGATCACATTTCAATATGATCATGTTTTAATATAATCCTGTTTGGGACATAACCTGTGACCGCTCAAAATTTGATCAGAATTGGCTGCTCAATACAAAGATTTATTTTTCCAGTTTTCAGCGGCACACTAAAATCCTGTATCAGCCCACACTGGTCTCATGTTTTAGCCTACCTCACATTTAAGTACCTTGCTTCGTCATCTGTGATGAAAAAAAAAAAACCAGATGTCCACATAGTCAGAGACAGTGTGCTGCTCATAGTTGAGTAATAAAATAGTTTAGTAGAGGAGGTTGCACCACCGCCTGGTTCATTAACGGAGCAGAGAGCGTCCAAGCAGCCTCTACTCTGCCTCGCTGTACGGCTTCACGTCCGCTTCCGTTTCTCTCACCCTTCTCCACTTCCATCATTAGATCTGTAGTCATTTTGCGACTCGGTTTGCAAAGTTTACAGCTTGCCACGCAGCTATTCCAGTCGACTCTTCTCGACTGCTGACTCGAATCATCGAGTTTTTGGGGGAGGCCCTACCACAAATAAATGAAGTTAGTTATTTATGTGCCCTTTTGGCCTTAAAGTAACAGTTGGTTGAAAGCTAGTTAGCTGGACACACCAGAGTGGGAGAGATCATCTCACTAACAATAGCAAGTTGTGTTAGAGACTAGGCTACATATATATACCATTTAATCCATTCCTTTTGCTTCTCCTGTTTTTGTTCTTTCCTCTTCCAAAACTCTTTACATACCAAGTATCGCTCTTTGACTTCTACCTTGGTTGTTCAAACATGACCTAAACTAGTTCTGGCAACCTCTCAAAATGAGTTGGGGCAGAAAGAGAAGGAAAGAGAGAAAGGAAATGAGAAGACTGAAACCAACCTGGCTGGATGTCAGGCTTCCTGCAGCCTGCACTCATCACTCTACAAGCAGATGCCCTCCCTAAGGGACAGATGTTGACCTTTGCCCCCTGATCTCTTGTCAAGAACGGAGTGTTTTCACTGGTAGATAAGCGCCGTGTAACTATATCACTATTTCTCATCTCATCACTCTCTCTTGTGTCCTCTCTCCTCCCTTCCACACACACACACACACACACACACACACACACACACACAGACAGACATACACGCACATGCTCTGTTTTTGTTACGTAACTGTCTCCCAGTAGAGTCAAACATGGTGCAGTCACTGAGGGTGACCGGAGGGTTAAAAGAAGCTGTTGTCTCGCGTGCACAAGACTAAACTTAAATCGAAACAAAGGAACCAGGCAATAGCAGACAGACACACACACGTGTTCCAGACACTTCCAGCTTTAGTTGTGGACTGAGAAATGGGTTTGTCAGCATTTTGTGTAGGATTCT